GGGCTCGGGCCCCACCTGTGACCCCTCTCAGGGGTCACGGGTGGGGCCTGCATGAATGAATGCAGGCAAACTTAGATTTCTACACAAAAGATATAATCAGTCAGAGCCTGCAGTAACTAGGTCCATCATGTTTTGTTGTGGCACAAAAGAAGATCTGATGGAGAATGGCTCGGTCCCACGTTTCAATCAATCTGAGTAATATAAAGTCTTGTTTGAAGCAACTTCTAAATGGAGAGGCCTTGGGAAGGCCTTGAAGATAAAGAGCACTGGAGATCTAATACAACATGGTTCAAAACTAATTAGCTTACAGGGTGACCTCTCAAATAAGGACTAACACTATGTATGCTGATGGCTTAAACTCATGCTCATAGAAGCTGCTTTTGTACAGGCACCTCCCCTTCTCCCAAAATGTCACCTCAACAACATCATGTCTGACAAGACTGAAAGCTGTGTGCCATACAGGAAGCGCCATCTGATGAATAGCAAACACTGGAAATCACCAAAAGTAAAGTTGTGGCTTTTAATGCTGTGATTATTCTGGGACAGTGTCTTGCACTTTACAGTTTTTCTCTATCGCTTTCATTCATTTCTCACAACAGAACTGCATTTCTCAGAACTACTCGTTCAATCGTCAGATTCTGTTGTCAGTTGTTCACATCATATCAGCAATTTCTTGTTGTTTCCATCAAATTGCAATTTCTTTTGGACAACATGCAAATGGTTCTATACATCTGTCAGCTGTTTTAGACAATTCTTGTTGCTTTTGTCCAGCTGTGCAAAATAACTTGTCCTGGTTCTCAGCTGAAATGTCACAACCACCAAACCAATTAGTCTTTTTTTCAGGTTGGAAGTCTGTACTATCAAAATGAGTGAACATGTTCTCAGAATTGTATGTCTGTACAGATTTCTACAAAGTGTGAGTAGATGTTTGCTAAGAAATATGTCCAGAATTGAGAAATTGCTCTCAGGTGAGTCTTCACCTTCGTTAACGAAGAGAACCACCTCACAACTTCATATACTTGGATGAGGCTGGCTTCAACCTGGCCAAAGGCAGAAGGCGTGGTAGAAATCTAATTGGCCAGAGAGCTACTGTTGATGTCCCAGGCCAACGGGGAGGAAACATCACTATGTGTGCTGCTATGTCAGACCAAGGTGTGCTAGCTCATATTCCTATTATGGGACCGTACAACACACAGCATCTCCTTACATTCTTAGACAATCTCTATAGAAATGTCATTCCTGAAGATGAGAGAGACCTCAATCGAGATGATGTACCAAAGTATGTAATAATTTGTGATAATGTCAGTTTCCATCGCTCTGACAACATCAGGCAGTGGTTTGTCCACCACCGCAGGATGCTGATTGAATTCCTTCCACCCTACTCCCCATTCCTGAACCCAATTGAAGAGTTTTTCTCGGCTTGGCGGTGGAAAGTTTATGATCATCAGCCACATACGCGGATGACACTGCTGGCTGCCATGGATGCAGCATGTGAGGACATCTCAGCAGATGCATGCAGAGGCTGGATTAGGCACTCAAGAAGATTCTTTCCACGGTGCATAGCAAGACAAAATATATGTTGTGATGTGGATGAGAATCTGTGGCCCAACAGACAGGACCAACATGACGCATAGGAAAACTGCCACGTAATCTCACCTTTACCTTCTGTTGTACATATATAGTTCTTCCCACTTTGTCTTTTTTACAGTATGTTTCCATTGCTAGGTAAATAGACTATGTATAGTTTCCTTTGTTGTCTGTATGTAAGTACCACTATTGACAGTACAGTAGAAATGTGAGTACAGTCTGATCTTTTGTTTCGATTCTTCCATATACTGTAACGTGGGGCGATGGTGATTGGTTAGATGAGGTTAGATGGAATCATTCAGAAAATTATCTATTCTTACCATGTAAATTACTGTAACACCTGGTTGATGCACAATGGTTTGCAAGAATCACTTCTTTTTTTTACCGGAGGGACACTGTAAATTATGACACGCACCAGTACGGTAATTTAGTGGTTCCTAGTCATCAAAACCTGAGTTGAGTATAGTTTACAGTAAATAACAAAAACTGAGTATAATGTTCTATTGACAACATGACTAATAATTTTGCCTGTCACATTTACATTGTTGAGGAAATGACATGGGATTCTGCTGCCTCTGACACAATGATTGATGAAAAAACATACTTTTGCATGATAGACAAAGCATTTTGAGCAGGTGACGCGCTTTTTCCGGTTATCCACTATGTTGTGCAGTTTGTACGTGTTGTTTTGAGAAATGCACTTGAAGATCTGCAAACTTCAATTCTGTTGTGAAAAATGAATGAAAGCGATAGAGAAAAATTGTAATGTTTATGGTTCTATACAAGCAAAATTAACATAACTGCAGGACTGTTGTGCATTTTGTGAGTTTGCACAACATTTATGAACAATTAAATGAACTTTCATACATCATGAAGTATTGCAAACCTGCTTTTTGTGGTAAATTCATATAAATTATCTAACTGTTGCAAAACTGAACCAAAGGTCTGTGGGTGTCATAAAAAAAGCACCCTGTATTCCTACAGTTGGTACACTACTGCCACCAAGTGGTGATTAGGAAAGCTTACACCCAAAAGTAAATTTGATATTCTGCATAAATATAGATGTGTTGTAATACCCTAGTGAGAAAGAAACTGATCTTCTGTGAACTTCTTAACTGTTCTTCACATCTCGTCTGACTCTGACACTCACCAGAAAGACACTATCAAAATGTAACCAGCACTAATACTGAGTGAATGGAGGTTTAATCTCAACTGTACCCTGCCATATGTCATAGGTCTATATTCTCAACAAATCCCACAAAGCAAGTATGAGTAATATTTTAAAGGTAATTAAAAAAAATAAAAATAAGCTTGAAACAAATTCATTCCATTTCAGTCCCTGAGAAATCATATTTCTATATCTGTACAATTTCTCTGCAAGGAATTCAACTTATGATTAAATAAAAATAAAATAAATGTTTCATGACCTACTAATGTTGCAAGAAATGTAAAGACAAATCAAGATAAGCTGTACCAGTGGTGGAAGAAGTAGTCAGACTAGCTACTTAAGTAAAAGTAGCAATTCTACAGTGTGAAAATGCTTACAAGTAAAAGCTATGCATTCATAATGTTAACAAAGTAAAAATGCAAAAGCTTTAATGTCAAAATGTACTTAAAGTACCAAAAGTAAATGTACTCATTATGCAGAATGGAAGATTCATATTATTGGCTTACAATTACTGATGCATTATTGTGTACATCACGTTAAATGTTGCAGCTGATAAAGGTGGAGCTCATGTTAACTTCCTTAAATGTGAATAATTTTATTTTATATCTTATCATTTTTAAATTGATAATTTAACATTACTGCTGGGTAGCTTGTGAATTTCCCACCAGGGATCATAAATATCCCATTCTGCATAATGAGAACTTTTACTACTTTAAGTATGATACTAATATTTTTGTACTTTTACTTAAGTAACATTTTGAATGCAAGATATTTACTTGTAAGAGAGTATTTTTAGATAGTGGTCAAGGTCAAAGGTCAAAGTGTTTATTTGTCATATGCACAGTTAGGAAACGCGTTTCCCTGTACAATGAAATTCTTACTTTGCCGTCCACATGAATGCCACAAAATACAAGTGAAATATAAAGTAGATGAGCAATAACACAAATCTAAATAGGCAGTAACACAAATCTAAGACACTTTAAAGCAGCAAGTGAAGGAAGCAAATAAAAATACAACAAGAACACAATATAATGTGGAGAGAATATATGCTACTTGGGAGCCGTGGAGTGTAAATACTCAGCAGTGATTGTGCAACTATGCATGTGCAAAATGAGTATGTAAACAGTACAGATGGAATTACCGTACATGAGGTAGATCCTGAGTCAGCTGTTTAGGAAAGAAAGAGTTTTTCAGTCTAGAGGTCCTGCATTTCACACTTCGGAGCCTCCGACTGGAGGGTAGGGGTATGAACAGTCTGTGTTGGGGGTGGGTGGGATCTTTGAGGATGGAGGCAGCTTTCCTATGCACCCTGCGGTGGTAAATGCTCTGCAGAGAGGGCAGTGGAGTCCTGGTGATCTTCTCTGAGCCACCATTGGGCCTTCTTGACCAGCTGTGTGGTGTTAAGTGTCCAAGTGAGGTCCTCACTGATGTGGACTGAGGTATTTGAAGCTGCTCACCCTCTCCACTTTGAGCCCCTGGATGAACAGTGGCCAATGAGATCTCCTCTCCTTCCTCATGTCCACTATCATCTCCTTCGTCTTGTCCGTGTTGAGGCTGAGATTATTGTCCTTGCACCATGACACCAGACCGGCCACCTCCCTCCTGTAGCCTGCTTTGACCCGGCCAGTGATGCGACCTATCACTTCGGTGTCGTCTGCGAACTTTAGGATGATGTTGTCTTTGTGGGAGGCGACACAGTTGTCGGTGAACAGGGTGTAGAGGATGGGACTGAGGACACATCCCTGTGGGGTGCCAATGTTCGTGATAATGCTGGCTGAAGTCCTGTTGGTATTGATACTTTTGCTAAAGCAAACAATCTGAGAACCTCTTCCAAGTATAAAGTAAAGTACAGATACCTCAAAATTGCACTTAAGTAAGCTACATGTACTTTCCATCACTGAGCGGTACTAGTCTACTAATCAGCCAGTAGACAGTCTGGTACTCTGTATCCCAGCATCCATCGCGGCGCCGCTCCTGTTATGTCACTGACGGTCAGAGGGGGAGGCCTTTTTGCATCTAGCCACATCAAAAACTTCACCGCTGTGCACAGATATTGAGGTAAGTTCGTTTAAAGGTCATGTGATATATTGACCGAAATGGTTTCATTAGCGAACACTGTGTTAGCAGCAAAGCCCATACAACTTAGTTCAGGTTAGATTAGGTAAGTAGCCAGCTGACCACCCCAGATGAGTTGCATCAAGCCGCGTAGCCAGCTTTCCGGTGTTCGTGTGGTAGGATAAAGCTCCGATGAGGGTCTTTATAGTTTGTGTCTAGAGGAGACCGGCTGGTTTACACAATACATCTACAGCTCGATGGTATATTACGAATATAACATCATCAAAGCCATTTGGTTAAGGTTAACTTCTTCACATTCCACAGATTGTCCTACAATGCTATCTTAACTAACGTAAAGTCAGTAGCTAACCTGAACTGGCATTGTTAGCTTACTTAAAGTCTTTGCTGTTGTTAACTTTAACATTATGCGTGTCAAAGTTCCTACCATCTTCTACAAGTAGTGTTTCTCGTTGTGACTGGTCTTGTGTGTATCATCATGTCCTGTATTCGGATTCAGAGTGCACTCAATCAGTGAGTAGCTGTTAGATGCTAGCGAGGTCAGTTATTGTTCATGGAGACTCTCTGCTTGGTCCTTGACAGAATTTTATTGGAGGTCAGAGTTTTGACATTTTAGTGTTAGGGCTTTGAGATGCTTAAATCTTTCCCACACTAACACCATAGATAGGAAATTAACTCTGCCATAATTCTATTAATCTGATCTTTGGTTTGGTAGTTAGTCCACTGATTATTTGGATTAGTATTAGTTTGATTTGGTTTATGGCGAAGTTAAAGGGGTTTCATAGCTTAGTGTCATCCAGTGATTAAAAAAAAAAAAATGTAAAATTTCCTTTAAACACTGTGTTTCAGGACTTGTTTGGTGTTACTATGGAGCTGTCAGGAAATACTGTGATATGTTCATCAAGCAACCACACCCTGAACTCAAAAGGTGGTGGCTGTCCGTGGGAGGTCAGCGACAAGGCCAGACTGTGCCGCTTCCTATGCTATGGCTCAGAGGGAGATGTATACACTGCCAGAGAGGAGGGTCGGGTCAGCATGGAGGGCGCCGGAGCCCTGCTGTCTCTGCTGCAGGAGGGACGAGGCACTGAGGTGGTGGAGGAGATAAAACGCTTCACTCAGGATGAGCGAGCTGTCAGACTCAGTCCCTGCTTTTTTGCCTTGGCTTTGTGCTCTCAGCACTCGGAGCTGAAGACCAGGCAGGCAGCATTCAAGGCCTTTAAGGAAGTTTGTCGGGACCCTGCTCATCTGTTTTCTGTCATCCAGTACAAGAAGGAATTGAAAGAGAGCATGAAATGTGGGATCTGGGGACGCTCTCTGAGGAAAGCTGTGTCTGACTGGTACAATGAGCAAGATGCTATGAGTTTGGCTGTGGCTGTGACCAAATGCAAGCAGAGAGAAGGATGGTCGCACCAGGATCTGCTCAGGCTCTCTCACACCAAACCAACTAATGAAGGTGAGTTTACACAGACACATTATTCACTGCTCTTTACAGGGGATGGGCAAAAATATATCCCACTGTTAGCAGTAACAGTGACACTCAACAATGCTAACAAAGAGGCACTTGGGACTATATGCTGTGGCCTCAAAAATGTAATGACTTTTTAAAAAGAACATAGAAAAGCATGATTTTTTTTTTTTAAGGTTTATCTTTCCTGCACTACTGCTGTTTTAAGATGCGTCTTATATATCTGGCCTGACCCTGTACATTGTAAACCTGTCCTGACTATCAATGTACATTTGAACTTGACATGACAATGGAAGAAGGCCACTTAAATGAGAGTAAATGGCCATACCTTTTGTGTTTCCAGCAATTGCTGTGATCAGCAAATATGTAACAAAAGGATGGAAGGAAGTCCAGGCTGCCTATGCAGACAAAGAGAACTCAGAAGAAGTTGTCAAGGTGCTTTTGTATCTTGAAGTGGTGGAGAAGGTCAAGCACAGTTGTGATGAAACGGTGGTCATCAATTTAATAGAGGAACACAAGCTGGAGAGGGCACAGCTGCTAACAGATCATCTTAAGTCAAAACAGGTGAGTGTTTGTGTGCGTGTTTTAATAACCTTTGTTGTTGTCATTAGATGTAGACTGGAGGATTATTTTCAGATCTTCCAAAATTATTTTATACCCTAGTGGTAGTGATAGTAAATGGTAATTAGCTGTGTTTCACACACATCCCACATCTAGCCTTATAGAATCAGGTACAAAACAGCAGCGCATTTTCAGTGTATTTCTCATTAACTCAATGCAAAATTGAGACTTGCCAAACATTTTAACACCTTAACGTTGTTTCATAACACTCGCCCAAATTCTGAAGATATTTCTCAGATCCTCATAGACTGTTCTGACATTGTAAAATTAAAAATAATCAGTTCCAGTCCAAGAAAAATAGAAATGTTGTCAGTTTCCCAAGTAAAAGGATTTCTTTTTCAGAGAAGTAAATATGGCGACAGGAAATGATGCCATCTCTCTTGCTTTTTTTTTTTTTGTGAAGGTCAAGCTGCTTTTGCACAAAGCCAAAATGCTTGCATCATTTTCACTCACCATCTTTTTTTATATGAGAAGAATGGACATAGCTGAGAAACTAATTAAAGTTGTATTCTTCCTGGATTGAACTGGAATGTTTTAAATTCCACATCATTATAAGAGTCTGTGAGGCCTGAAGAAATACCTTCAGAATTTGGTTGAGTGTTAGGAAACAACATTAAAATGTTTAGCAAGTCTCAGTTTTGCAGGTTAACAGAAAATCATCTCTGTGACTCAAGTGTATGTGTGACAGAACCTGGGGGTAAGGTAATATATGATTGTGTGTTGTTCCGGAGGTATGGAGAGCTCTACTGAAGGAAATGCCTCTCCAGTCAGTGCTGGGGATCTTGGGTAAAATGACATCAAACAAAATTCTTGAACCAGGAAGCTCAGAAACACGAGCGGTATGTGAGAGAATCCAGAGTGAGACGGCACTAAAGAAGGTAGGAGTCATAGATCTTTCTGATTAATTTATAGTTGTTTTGAATCAAACATGAGTCAGTGCACAAGTATTTCTGTCTTGAAATTGTCAGGCAAAGATCCACCCATTCAGCATACTCCTGGCTTCAGAGAACTACAAAAGAGGCCAAGGCTATCAGGGTAAAACAAAATGGGAACCAGACAGCAGCATCCTCAAGGCAATGGACTTTGCTTTTTACAAGAGTTTTGTGGTAGGTTCTTTTGTTTTTACGGCACAGACCTTCTTAAAGCCAGCAACCAACAGCATTAGCCAATGCAAATAATCTCTTGTACTTCTGTCTGCAGAATGTGGAGCCTGTAGATAAACGCTTCGTAGTGGCAGTAGACGTGAGCACATCGTTGAGCAGCGTTGTCCCGGGGACGTCAGTCAGCACCGCCGTCGCTGCTGCAGCCATTACCATGGTGAGATAGTGCTAGAGCTACATACTGTACTGTATGTGTGTAATTGTTGTTGCGGTTGGAACAGCTGCATCAGTAAGCATGGCCTGACCCTCCTCATCTTTGGCAGAAGCCTGCGTGAAGGAATTTGGTCTGTTGACACATACTGTGGATTCCTGTGAAATTTGTTCTGCAGCACCATTATCTTGGCCCCTGCAGGAGTTTTTAGCTCAGACATGTGCCATCATAATGCTGATTCTCAACAGTGTGGAGAGAATTGCAATATGTGAGAGCATGTTGAGTGTTTGTTTTGCAGCACTGTATCTGTACATACAGATGAATTTATGTAATAGTGATGCCATGCTTTCCCGTACATACAGATGAGTTTATGTAATAGTGATGCCATGCTTTCCTTTTTGGCCTCTGTGTCTGGTGCAGATATATGCAAGGACAGAGCCAGACACACATGTGTTAGCCTACTCTGAAGGAGCTTTGATTCCATGCTCAGTTTCTCCTGATATGACTCTTGCACAAACAACAGCTGAACTGGTTAAGGTAAGGCATGTCACAGAATCAGAGGAAGTAATGTGTTATACTTAACTGCACCAAAGTGTTTCATCTATTTTGGGAAGTCTAGTTGCAGCCTAGCCATTATATTTGTATCAGCTCCACTGAACATATCTTGCTCTTGATCTCTGACCTTTCCACCATATGTTCCAGATCCCTGCTGGGAGCACAGACTGCACCCTTCCCGTCACATGGGCAACAGAGAATGGAAAAGCTGTAGATGTGTTCATCGTTCTGACCAACAATCCGGTGTGGACATGCACCATCAGCCCGGTGCAGTCTCTAAAGAAGCACAGACAAGTACATTTATTCATTCATGTCAGCTTAGGTAGGGTATTTTATTGAGCTATGTTCTTCTAAGATAAAGACTATTTATGCAAACACCAGATAACATTAATTTGCAATTTGATGAGCACATACCTAGTCACTTTTGTTAAAATTCATTCCTGGGTTTGAATTTCCAGAATGATATGGCATTTGACAGTACACTGTTGATGTCATCCATTGTTGTTATTCACGTTGTAATAGGGCACAGTTAATTTTCTGTAATTTCATGACACTCACTGGAAACACATGCACATGTATTGTGTGCAGTTTTCTGAGTTTATCTTATGCGTTCATCAGTAACAAAAGAATTTCAAGTAAATAAAAGCATACTTGCATGTGTTATTGTAAAAATGGTTAACTTAAGAAAAAACTTTTTGTATGTGCGTTTTCTTGACAGATGTCAGGAGCTAATTCCAAGTTACTGATGTGTGGGCTGACTTCCATTGGACATGCCATTGCAGACACAGAAGACAGAGGTTTACTAAGCATCTGTGGTTTTGATCTTGGAGCTTTATGCGTCATTCGTAACATAGCCCAGGATCTGATCTGATAACGTGTTGAAACTGTCTCCGTATCATGTGGTAAGAGTACAGAAGTAAGGTTGAAATGGAGGGCACCCTCACTTAGTACATAGGGTGTCTTAAAACAGCACTAATCCAAAACATGCTGACATTTACAATTCCAGTTTCTCTTTTTGTATTGTTTTGCTTAAAAGTCAGTTGACAAAGTGTCCAGCGGGCTGGACAACACTCTGGAAATGTTATGCATATATTTTTCTGAATTTTAAGCAGGAGTGAAAAGACATGATGTGTCTTCATGCTATTAGAGTGTTACAGTACAAACAGCATTTTGTATGGTGGGCATTAACCCATTCAACAAAAAGTTCATTTTTAGGAAGATGTTAGCAGACTAAATAGGAACAGTGCAAGAGTCAGAATGTTCAAAAGTTGAGTGCAGCTGTAGGTTTATTTTAAGGGGATCTAGTGTAGTTTCTAGTCTGTCGATGGTAAGATTTAACAAGTTTGATGTGGTGGTAGAGGTATTTTAAATTTGAAAGCTTGTCCCTTTATTTTATGTAGCATTATTGTAAAATATTAATAGATATAAAATAGTTTCACAGTCAACAGAAAACCTTTATATTTTCATGACGTTTCTGTTAAAATCTTAGATTTACTTGGTCAGAAGATATTTTTTAATAATATTGTCTAGAATTCCGTTCACACTTTTGCCTGTAGCTCAGCTGCAATGTTTTGTATTATGTTTTCCCATTTGCCAATTTTATTTTAAATGGGTTTCTGTTCCCTTGGTGCTCTCCAATATGATATGATTTGAGTTATGGTTTTTTGTGTGGTCCTTTTGTGAAATAATAATGGCAATGTTTGGGCTGTAAGTCAGTTTACTGTAAGTTGGTAAGTTGGAGAAATGGACTTGCTCTCATATTTTAGTCTGAATTCTATGCATCACCATTGGGATTTTACAGTTTTATGTCCAGGATGGACATATCATAGCTATTTAACAAGTGTTTACTAAGACTGAATCTGCTAGCACAGAACTGTTTTTGTATTTTTGAAGTAAGAATGTTCGGTATGCAAAAATGAACAGATAATTGCTGCCTTCCAGATTTAAATTAAATGAATGTACTTTTGTAACCATGTAACAGTAGACATTTAAAGTGCAATGCTTTATACATCTTTAGATGGAATAAACACACTGCTTACAGTTTATTATTAGGGGCCAACTCATTATGGGGAAATGTAAGAAAATGACTATAGTGGTGCTTCTTGTTTTAATCAACAATAATTGCTGTAATTACTGAAAATATTCACTGAACCTGGCACTGATCATTGATTCATGTGTAATTTGTGATTTATGAAGGGGGGGAAACCTTCAGACCATGTTACTGTGAAAGATTTTGTTCCACATGCTGTCCTTTTCAATGTTAAGACAATGTTCACTGTCTTTTGGCCAATGGTCAAAATACTATAAAGCTAAAATATTTGTGCAATGTGATGATTGACACAACCTTTGTTGTTGAAAGTCTGACACAAAAGAATTAGGTTGAGACCTGATAATTCACAATGTTCCATCACGCTTAATTTCTGTGGGTGTTTGGTTCTTGTACCATTGCTAACTCTGAGAGACGAGGCAGTCCAAGTAACTTCAAAACAGTGCTGATTTATTCACAGGTAAAATTAACATTACACGCTCTGGTATCTTGCACCTCCAAACTGCTCACAGGCAGATGTAAGATGAAAGACCCTGAACCCACCAGGCCTATACATTATATCCCCTCGGTTGGGCTAGCCCCATACTACACAGAAACGTCAACAATTCCACCTGGCAAACAACGTGATAACAAGGTGCTTTGACAATCCTGTGACCAAGGTAAATAGGTGCAAACTACAGTCGAAGTTTAATTCAGATCAGGCATCCTACGAGGCCATACGCTGTTGATAACGGGGGGTCTTTCAAGCATACTACAAGACAAGTGAAGATGGCGGATGTGCTGAGTGTTCTTCGTCAGTATAACATTCAGAAAAAAGAAATCGTCGCCAAAGGAGATGAAGTTATATTTGGAGAGTTCTCTTGGCCCAAAAATGTCAAGACCAACTATATAATCTGGGGGTATGTCAGTGCTGAACATATCTGTAAATGACGTTTGTAGGCCCGCAGCTGAAGCTCATGAGTGGCTAGTGTTGCTAGCAGCTGTGGACGGCAAATGCTAAGATGCTAACCTAACTACTCTCCTCGTTGTCGTACTTGAAACTTTAAGCACTTTTTGGTTACCTTGGCGTGAAACTCCAGCGTTGAGCCTTAGACCTCATAGCGACTTTATTAGCCATTATGTGCATTTGTTTATAATTTATTAAACTTTAAATGTGTTTATGGGGTGTACAGCTAAACTTGCAGTAGTGATGTGATGCTAAATTAACTATTAGCGACGTTAGCTAGCGCTCAGTTTTGTTTCCACGGAATAAAGGGTTTAGTGGACCAAGAGGAAGAACTTATGTGTTGTTACAGCCAAGAACATAAGCATTTATTTTAACGTTACATTGCAAAAAGCAGAAAAACGAAGTTGCATAAAGATTAGTAGATTAGCTTGCCGGATAGTTTTTGATAGGTCCATGTTTAAATGACATCCGTGACCCAGTGTTTTGATCAAGTACTCTAACTGTACTGTTAGCATTATAGACTTACGCATTTTAGATAAACTTGAATGTCTAGCTTGCAGCAGGCTGTGTATATCATATGCTATATTTGTCCAAGAACCAAACTGTGACATATTTTTTTATGTGTGCTTTTCTGTTTTTGTTTGTTTGTTTGTTTGTTTTATTTCAGTACTGGTAAAGAAGGCCAGCCCAAAAAGTATTATACTTTGGACTCTATCTTATTCTTGCTCAACAATGTGCATCTTCCACATCCGTCATATGTGCGAAGAGCTACAGTAAGTGCCCTGGAATAATCATCAAAGTGCCATAACCTGTCAGTGCCAACATTTTATTATTTGGTGAAATATTTTACAATACACAAATTCACCTTTAAAAAATCTCATGTGCATCATCTTTTAAAAATTCCTGAAAACTGCCCTGAAAGTATTTTTGGATGTGTTTTTTTTATTTTTTTATTTTTTATTTTTTTTATATAAATAGAAAGCGAATATCCCTATTGTCAGACGACCTGATCGAAAGGGCTTGCTGTCATATCTCAATGGCGAGAGTTGTGAGTAGCACCTGGAAGATTTGTGGTCATTATGCATTGTTTCTTTGTGTGCAGGACATTAAGAATTATGTGTGTCCTCCTTCCTTATGATGTTCTGCACATTAAGGACAGATTTCAGTTATTACAACTGTGTGAGGAAGATCCTATGTGTAGTTGGTATTATTGGCATCTTATTAATATGGTTTTTAAATTTTATTTTATTTTATTTATTTATTTATTTTAATTTATTTATTTTTTTTAACAGCTACATCAACAAGTATCGACAGAAGTGCTCCTATAGAAATAGGTTTGCAAAGGCCAACACAAGGTAATTTCACACCAAGAGCCTGATCCACCTATAATTACTTTTTTTTATTAGGTTAGACTAAGGTTGTGAAACTGAGATTACAGCTTAATAAATTTCTTCTTTACAAGGCTTTGCTGCTATCTACAACCTGATCATACAGTATATTCTATTAAAAGGGTATTATTTCAGTCGGGAATGCTGATACAAAACCAAATGGATTTTGTGCTGTGAAATAATTCCTTTGTTTTGTTTTGTTTTGCTTTGTTAGTCAAACGAGCTGCTGATGAGTTATCTTCTGAAGCCAAAAAACCAAAGATTGAGGTAAAATATTTCAGCCAGCCGTTGCTTAGTATAAAATCTTTATACTCACATGTTGGTCAGTGCAGCTCTGGAGCATGTTCTGCCCTGGTGTTCAGTCCACAAGAATAACAATTGCAATAAGCAGAAAATCTGCGTTATCAATGCCACTATAAAAATGTGCAGGCAGATGTGATCCGGGAAGGTTTTCAGTGATGGCATAAAATGACTTTTTTGTTTCTTCTTTTAACAACATTATGTTCACTGATAACAGACTAAAAATAAAATTATCATTTTGCATTCACATTTGATTGACATGAATGTGAAAGAGGAACAATGGTACATTAATGTGTACACCCCCAGATCAAGCCACTGAAATACCACTTCATGTTATAAATAATTCAGAATAACTATAGCTGACAGAATACTTACTTTAGATGTAATATTCAGCACTGACTTGGTAAATCGTATATGTGTCACATTACAGAATCAGAATCTGCTTCATCGGCCAGGTGTGTCGGACACGTGAGGAATTTGACTCTGGTACATCGGCTCTTAATGTGTATGTACATATCCTCATGCAAGGGGCAAGTAAACAGTAAACCAGCATGAGGCTGTGTAATATAACAAAATAGAAAGTCACTTTTGGCTTTTCCCATTTAGGGGTCGCCACAGCAAATCGTCACACTGACAACTCACATGTTGACATTTGGCACGTGTTTTACGCCGAATGCCCTTCCTGACTCGAACCCAGGCCGCAATGGCAAGAGCGCTGCGCTTTAACTACTAGCCTACCAGGAACGGCTTAATATAACAAAATAAGCGGTAATTAACAAGCAGCAAACAATGCAAAATAAGCAGTATAAACAGGCAGTAAACAATGAAGACAGACAAAGGAACATTACATTGTGTTATTCTGTAGTTCACTGATGTGTATTGTTATAAAAAATTGTTATCAAATATGTTTTAAACTTTCAGAACAAAGCCATGTGAGAAACTGACTGTGTGAGCCTGAAGGTCGTTTTCTATCTTTCTTGTGTGCCATGATACACCTGACAACAAAATGTTCCAGATGAAGTGAGACTCAACTGTCAACCGTAGGCTAAACATGTTTTTCCATTATGATTAGCTTCTAGGTCACGCTATCAGGGCTTGCCTTTTAACTATATATTATGCTGTGTGAACCTACCTTACTCAGAGAACTCTGTACCGTTGTGCTGACTTGTTTCCTTGCTGCAAGAATTAAACGGCTTAAGACGATTCCAGTGACTTTGTCGCTTTATTAGAAAAATTCTCATAACATCTTGGTCCTTCGAGTCGGATCCCAACATCCTCTCCCTCATCCAGGTTTGGACCTGAAACTGTGCACGTAAAGAAGGCTACAGAGGGAATTCCACACCCCAAAGTAAAAGTAGCTCAATTTACACAGGACATAATGAACCTGTATAGAAGCTACCGCCTAAATGGAGCTGAAGTAGAGAGAGCCATCGTATAGGTGGTAGGACCAGATTGGTGTGTAACTAGGGGAGATTGGAATCCAAATGATGGACAAGGGCAACCACTCGAATATGATAATGCCAATCTGAACCAAAGGCTAGAACGGTTAATGAACTGAGCCAGAACCAGATATCAGGCATGTGCAAACTGGACAGAAATAAACAGATGCATGCAAAAGGATGATGAGGGTGTAGATCATTACTGTACCAGACTGAAAGAAGTATTTGACAACCACAGTGGTGTGCAGCCTCCACAGAATGCAGATAATGACAGTCCCTATGAACAGCAACTGAAAAACACAAAGATTGTCTGCCCCAAATCAGCAGTTTTATCACAAAGCACATGATTGCTCATTGCACAGCTAGGCTGACAAACACCATGGATTACGATAGACGTACAGAAAAATGCTTCAAAGGGAAAAACTAAGGGACAGACATTTGCATTGGAAGAAGGAGCAGTGTTTGTGATGACAGAAAACATGGGGGGGTTGATTGAGACATTTGCCATGCCTGTGGCAAGCAAGGACAATGGGCATGCAAATGTAGATATAAGAAAGGAAGAGGGAAGCCAAATGAGGAAGTAGAAGAGTCAGTATGACTAGAGAAAAAGAATAGGAGGTTAAAGGAAGTGAGAGCAAGGATGAAGTTTTGTGTCTAAAACGTAGAAACTTTTTTGTTCAGTGAACGAAGTCAGATGTTTAGGAAAGAGAGTTTTTCAGTCTGGAGGTCCTGCATTTCACACTTCTGAGCCTCTGACTGGAGGGTTGGGGTGTGAACAGTCCGTGTTGGGGGTGAGTGGGGTCCTTGAGGATGGAGGCAGCTTTCCTACACACCCTGCGGTGGTAAATGCTCTGCAGAGAGGGCAGTGCAGTCCTGGTGATCTTCTCCACAGTCTTGACCACTCTCTGCAGGCTCTTGCGGTCCATAGCAGTAGTGCTGCCATACCAGACAGTGATGCAGCTGGTCAAGATGTTCTTGACGATGCAGCTGTAGCTGTTGCAAAGGATCCTAGGCAACATGCCAAACCTTGGCCTCCTCAGGAAGTACAGCCACTGTTGGGCCTTCTTGACCAGCTGGGTGGTGGTAAGTGTCCAAGTGAGGTCCTCACTGATGTGGACGACCAGGTATTTAAAGCTGCTCACCCTCTCCACTTCGAGCACCCAGATGAACAGTGGCCAGTGAGTTCTCCTCTCCTTCCTCATGTCCATTATCATCTCCTTCGTCCTGTCCATGTTGAGGCTGAGATTATTGTCCTTGCACAATGACACCAGACCGGCCACCTCCCTCCTGTAGGCTGCTTTGTCCCGGCCAGTGATGCAACCTATCACTGTGGTGTCATCCACGAACTTTGGGATGATGTTGACTTTGTTGGAGACGACACAGTCGTGGGTGAACAGGGTGTAGAGGATAGGACTGAGGACACATCCCTGTGGGGTGCCAATGTTCGTAATGCTGGCTGAAGTTCTATTGCCAATCCTGACAGTCTGGGGCCTGCCAGTCAGAAAGTCCAGGAGCCAGTCGCAGAGGGCGGGTTGCAGACCCAGTGTGGACAGTTTGTGGGGGATAACTGTGTTGAAGGCTTTGCTGTAGTCAATGAAGTGTATCCTGATGTAAGAGTCTCCATTTTCCAGGTGAGAAAGGGAATAGTGGAGGGCATCCACGATGGTATCTGAGGTGGCCCTGTTGGGCCGGTAGGCATACTGCAGGGGGTCCAGGGTGTCTGGTATACTGCTTTGGAAGCGGGCCAGCACCACTCTCAAAACACGTCATAATAATTGGGTTGGGTGCCACTGGCCTGTAGTCGTTCAGGCAGGTGACCGGGCTTTTCTTGGGAAGGGGGACGATGGTTGTGGTCTTAAAACAGGTGGGAACGATGCTCTGACACGGGAGCCTCAAAAACAGTTGTGCACCCAGATGATGTACCATACATACTGTCATCTATGGATACCATCTTTGTAAAAGCAACAAATGACAACGTGCATAGAGAACAATTATTTGAACAAGTGCAGGTGAAAGATGAAAAGACAGGGCTAAGCTGCAAATGTCAAGTGGTGTTATCTCGAGTCTGTCCGTGCAACCTTCTGGGGAGAGATTTACTGGCACCTCTGAATATAGCCGTCAACCCCTGTGATGATTGACTCGGAGCACAAAGGCTACAAGAAGTAGCAGTAGTGGAAGGTCACAGGGCACCTCATTACTGGTACAGCTTAGATCTGGTGACCACCAGGCCAGCATCTGTCACAGCATCCCTAATAGAGAAAGCTAGACAAAGAGCTGCACCATACTCTGATTTCATGAACCCAAATGACCTGCATTGCACAATGTACTATAACTAAACATCTGGACCAGACGTAGAATATGTCGTTTCATGAGAGAAAACCAAAGTCAGCCAACAATCAAAACTCTATTTTGGGACGAGGGTTTACAGGAGTCAGCAGTGAGCTAGATTCAAAGATGAAAAAGTTTTGTCACTCCACAAAAGCACCTCACATGTCGCTGACAAAACCAAAGAATATGAGATGGACAGATGTAGGAACGTTTGTGACTGCATGTGAGGGAGTGAGCGATTGGCAGAAAATAGATGAGACAACTGAATACATTGAACTCCTGCAGGCTTATGCATCCACATTATGATGGGTGACTCAAACCAAAACCGCTGTACATCCTGCAGGGGTACAAGAGACACAACATGTGACAAATATTAGGCTTAACTAAAGCAGAAGAAGCAGCTTTAACAGACATACCTGAAACACTCTGGTCAAAAGGCACTGCAGATGTGGGGCTAATAAGGGGAGTAGAACCTGTAAAAATCACACAAATCTTCATTTTGCCCACACCAAAGACAGTATCCTCTGAAACCTGAGGCTGAAGCAGGGATAGCTCCTATAATAGAAGACCTTTTGATAGCCAGAGTGATAATTGAGTGTCCAAACTCTCCATGCAACACTCTATTATTTCCTGTAAAGAAGGCACCTCCATCCACAGGCTGGAGAATGGTAAAAGACCTACAGGCTGTTAACAAAGCTGTTATCCCAAGGGCACCTACAATATCTGACCCACACGCTTCTAAATGATTTGAAGCCAGAAAACTTTTTTTTTTCTGTCTGCAACATCAGCAATGCATTTTTCTCTATTCCTGTGCATCCAGACAACCAATTCTGGTTCACTTTCACTTACGAAGTGAAAAGATACACTTAGTCGTATTCCACAGGGTTACTGCGAGTCGCCAACAATATTTTTCCAGGTAATGTCTGCAAATTTGGCAAAATTTGTTCCACCATGTGATAGGCAGGTACTGATGTATGTGGATGATACAGTATATTAATAGCCTCTAGAGATCAATAAAGCTACAAAATAGACACACTAGCTTTACTGATGTTTCTAGCTGAACAGGGACATAAAGTGAACAAGGGCAAGCTACAGTTATGGAAGACAACGGTCAAATACCTAGGATACAACCTCTCACAGGAGGGGAAACTTCTAGATGAGGCCAGAAAAACTGCCATCTTACAGGCACCCAAGCCACAAATTAAAAGAGACATGATGTCATTCCTGGGCATGGTAAATTTTTGCAGGACCTGGATTTCTAGCTATGTAGCTATCAACTCAATTAATGGCACTAATATAAGATGTTCTGTTAGCTGCAGCGTATCAAATCACCTGGACAGAGGAGGCGGAAAACGCTTTCGCACAGACTAAACAACTGTTGGTGAACTCTGCCAAACTAGGATTTCCAAACTATTCCAAACCCTTTGTTCAAACTGTTGACTGATATATGACTTCAGTGTTGATGCAGAGCCATGGCAGGAAGAGTAAACCTATTATTGCCTACTACTGAAGTCGACTGGACCCTGTAGCTAGGGCCCTGCCACCTTGCCTGCAGGCTGTCATTGCTGCATCTATGGCACTGCAAGCATCAGCCTCCATTGTACAGTTTCATCCTTTAACACTAAAAGTACCGCATGCAGTGGCAGTAATATTATTACAAGATAAAATCTCTTAATTGTCACCATCCAGACATCTCTCCTGCATGACTGTGTTATCACAACCACACCTAACCATTGAGAGATGCACAACATTAAACCCAGCAACACCCATACCTACAGCATTGGACTGGATACTTCATGACAGCTTTGGACTTTCTGGCTCCTGGGAGGCAACAGTGATGCGGTGGGTAGAATAGTTGTCTCCCAACCGGAGGTTGGAGGTTCGAATCTTGGTGCCTGCAGTCCACATGTTGGAAGTGTCCTTGGGCAAGACACTGTACTGGAAACAAATTATCCTTATCAGAAAAAGTGCTCCTTAGGCTGGATCTAACTGATGTACCCTATGAAAATGCAGACCCCACCATGTTTGTGGATGGATCAAGTAAGAAAAGCCCAGATGGAACAAATGCAACCGAGTTTGCTGTAGTAACACGTGACACCGTGCTGGTAGCAAAACCCTTACTAAAACATTATTCTGCCCAAGCAGCAAGATTAGTGGCGTTGACAGAAGCATGTAAACTAGCTGAAGGGAAAACGGCTAATATCTACGCCAACAGTCAATGTGCATTCTCAACAGTACATGTTTTTGAACAACAGTGGAAATATCAAGGTATTGTGATGTCAACAGGAAATTGGATTGAAGTGTTTCGTACAACTACTCCAGATGTCCTCATGGCCCAGCCCATAGTGGGAAGGTCCATACCAGGTATTGATCGCCACACCTACGGCAGTAAAGATAGCTGAAAGAACATCCTGGATTCATCTGTCCCATTGTAAGCTGGTAAAGCCCTTATCTTCACAAGAATAGGTAAGGACAGTTAGCTACACACCACTGCTCCCTGAGGCAGCGAGTCTGATTACAAAGGGGACATCCTCCAATAGGGAAAAGTCATCTCAAACTCAGTGAAGAAACCATCGGCCAATAGGAGCAAACGGTGTGACATAAATATGCAGGGACAAATAGAAGAGGATCAGAAAGCCAGCTGGGGACTGTTCAGACAGACTCCACCTGTAACAGTCAAACCTGACAGTATGACAAGTTATACCATTCGCACCGGCATCTTAATTATCACAACCATAGGAACAGTTGTGGTCTTATTGTTAGCTTGGCTCCTCTGTAGGCCACCACAAACAACCACACACCCCAACAAGAATATGTGGGGCTGTGGTTGTGAAGAATGGAAAGATGTAATTGCAAATACAGGACCGGTTGATTAGGGATATGATCCAAAACCTACAAGCTCCCCAGACCTGAAACAGCGACTGTCAATTATAAAAACATCTTCCCCTCACCCCTGTGGGGCCAATAACTGCAATCCCTTAATTCTCACTCTGCGAAGAGTAAAACAGGGAGACTCAGGAACTTATGTGCTGGGGGCTTATGTATCTGGTCCAGATCCTGTGGAATTATTCCAGATAAATGTAGTAAAGAAGCCTGTCAATACAACCATGACTAGCCCCCAACTTCCAAAAGCAAATAGACCTGTAAAATACCTGACTAACCTCACTGTGCAGGATGTAATAGCCTTAGAAACAGGATACGCTGATAAAAATGAATGGATTGAGTGGATGATGTTTTCTGCGAGGCAAAGTAATGTTAGTAATTGTATTGCCTGTTCTACTGCCAGACACCAGTTGGGAACATCACCCTTTCGATTAAATGATTCAGCAGATCCCACAGGATTACAGTGCATATTACGATTGCATAGTAAAACCTTTTCTCCAACCACTGAACAATGTACATCCCTTTCTTTGCTGTATCCACCAGTAAACAAAGGAGACGTTCCTCCCTCGGTAAACATTTATAATTACACATGCTTCGTACGCTCTGGTAGCAGTAAGACTGTCCAGAACCTACAGTCTGACTGGTGTGGTGAGACCCTCAATATCACCACCAACAGTGGAAACTATTCTGCCACCTGGTTAGCGAACCAAACCGTCTCAAGAGCAGACATATGGTAGAGATGGCAAGCTGAGGCTCAGACTCCCTTCACAGTGGAAGGGCAGCTGTGCCCTAGTGCAACTGCTGATGCCCTTTCACATGTTCTCATTGAGAGAGTATAAAGAGCTGGGAGAAAAGCTATCATCTGCATCCCACCTATATTGCAGAATCAAAAGAGCGGTCAACCCCGGAGGTTCATTTGACAACAGAGTGTACATAGACGGCGCATTTGGCATGCCCCAAGGAGTACCTGATGAGTTTAAAGCTAGAAATCAAATAGCTGCAGAGTTCAAATCCTTTCTTTCCTGGTGGGTCACAGTAAATAAAAATGTGGATTGGATTAATTACTTATACTAAAACCAACAGTGTTTTGTCAGTTACACCAGAGATGCAGTAAAAGGCATAGCAGAACAACTAGGCCCAACCTCTCATGGCATGGCAAAATAGGATGGCCCTGGATATGCTGTTAGCTGAGAGAAGAGGAGTATGTAAAATGTTGGCACATTTTGTTGTACTGTTATACCTAACAATACTTCCCCAGATGGCAGCATCACCAAGGCCCTTGAAGGATTGACAGCCGTATCCGAGGAGCTGGCTGAGAATTCTGGAATTGACAACCCCTTCACCAGTTTCCTAGAATCCTGGTTCAGACGATGCGCTGATCTCTCTGTCCGCAGCTGTAGCCCTCCTGGTTATGTGTGGCTGTTGCATTCCCTGTCTACGAGAACTGATGCAGAGGCTAATATACTGTACACTGCTCTGATCAAGACCATGTACCAACAAGTCTGTGACGAGGAAAACGAAGAAGAAGATCACCATGGACAGGACGATTGGGTTTAAAAAAGAGACCTTCATAATTCTGATCTGAGTGAACCCTGTATGACTTGTTTTAATAAAAGACATTTAAAGTGCAATGCTTTATACATCTTCAGGAGGAATAAGTGCACTGCCTACAGTTTATTATTAGGGGCCAACTCATTATGGGGAATTGCAAGTAAATGACTATAGTGGTGCTTCTTGTTTTAATCAACAATAATTGCTGTAATTACTGAAAATAGTCACTGAACCTGTCACTGATCATTGATTCATGTGTAATCAGTGATTTATGGGGGGGACCTTCAGACCATGTTACTGTGAAAGATTTTGTTCCACATGCTGTCCTTTTCAATGTTAAGACAATGTTCACTCTTTTTGATTGATGTTCACAATGTTCCATCACGCTTAACTTCTTTTTCATTATGTTGTCTGTATCAATTTTGCTTAACATGTAAGTATTTGATTATAATGGCATTGTAAACCCCTAATATACATATATATTTGCTGCTCTTCAAATGGTGTTGTGTTTTGACTTCTTGTGTCAAAAATACGTGCCTGGAGATTAATGCTACTTTATTTGGAGTATCCCGTATCATTAACCGTGATTAGAGTAAGCTTCCTTGAGCAAACTACTAGGGCTCCTGGACCAGTACTGTGGGTCAGTGCAGACAAACAAACCGGTCAAAATTAAGAATCACGTTTATCAACTAATTCCACCTGGCAAACAACGTGATAACAAGGTGCTTTGACAATCCTGTGACCAAGGTAAATAGGTGCAAACTACAGTCGAAGGTTAATTCAGATCAGGCATCCTACAAGACAAGTGAAGATGGCGGATGTGCTGAGTGTTCTTCGTCAGTATAACATTCAGCAAAAAGAAATCGTCGCCAAAGGAGATGAAGTTATATTTGGAGAGTTCTCTTGGCCCAAAAACGTCACGACCAACTATATAATCTCGGGGTATGTCAGTGCTGAACATATCTAAATGACGTTTGTAGGCCCGTAGCTGAAGCTCATGAGTGGCTAGTGTTGCTAGCAGCTGTGGACGGCAAGTGCTAAGATGCTAACCTAACTACTCTCCTCGTTGTCGTACTTCAAACTTTAAGCACTTTTTGGTTACCTTGGCGTGAAACTCCAGCGTTGAGCTTTAGACCTCATAGCGACTTTATTAGCCATTATGTGCATTTGTTTATAATTTATTAAACTTTAAATGTGTTTATGGGGTGTACAGCTAAACTTGCAGTAGTGATGTGATGCTAAATTAACTATTAGCGACGTTAGCTAGCGCTCAGTTTTGTTTCCACGGAATAAAGGGTTTAGTGGACCAAGAGGAAGAACTTATGTGTTGTTACAGCCAAGAACATAAGCATTTATTTTAACGTTACATTGCAAAAAGCAGAAAAACGAAGTTGCATAAAGATTAGTAGATTAGCTTGCCGGATAGTTTTTGATAGGTCCATGTTTAAATGACATCCGTGACCCAGTGTTTTGATCAAGTACTCTAACTGTACTGTTAGCATTATAGACTTACGCATTTTAGATAAACTTGAATGTCTAGCTTGCAGCAGGCTGTGTATATCATATGCTATATTTGTCCAAGAACCAAACTGTGACATATTTTTTTATGTGTGCTTTTCTGTTTTTGTTTGTTTGTTTGTTTTATTTCAGTACGGGTAAAGAAGGCCAGCCCAAAGAGTATTATACTTTGGACTCTATCTTATTCTTGCTCAACAATGTGCATCTTCCACATCCGTCATATGTGCGAAGAGCTGCAGTAAGTGCCCTGGAATAATCATCAAAGTGCCATAACCTGTCAGTGCCAACATTTTATTATTTGGTGAAATATTTTACAATACACAAATTCACCTTAAAAAAATCTCACGTGCATCATTTTTTGAATTTCCTGAAAACTGCCCTGAAAGTATTTTTGGATGATAGTTATTATTATTCTTATTTTTTTTAAAATAGACAGAGAATATCCCTGTTGTCAGACGACCTGATCGAAAGGGCTTGCTGTCATATCTCAATGGCGAGAGTTGTGAGTAGCACTTGGAAGATTTGTGGTCATTATGCATTGTTTCTTTTGTGTGCAGGGCGTTAAGAATTATGTGTGTCCTTTTTTCTGTATATTGCTCTGCACATTAAGGACAGATTTCAGTTATTAAAACTTTGTGATGGAGATCTTATGTGTAGTTGGTATTATTGGCATCTTATTAATACAGTTTCTAATTTTTTTTTTTTTTCTTTACAGCTACATCAACAAGGATCGACAGAAGGGCTCCTATAGAAATAGGTTTGCAAAGGCCAACACAAGGTAATTTCACACCAAGAGCCTGATCCACCTGTAATTTTTTTTTTTATGAGGTTAGACTAGGTGAAACTGAGATTACAACTTAATAAACTTAATAACATAAACTTAGTAAACTTCTTCTTTACAAGGCTTTGATGCTATCTACAGCATGATCATAAAGTAAATATATAGTCGGAAATGCTGATACAAAACCAAATGGACATTGTGCTGTGAAATAATTCCTTTGTTTTGTTTTGCTTTGTTAGTCAAACGAGCCGCTGATGAGGTATCTTCTGAAGCCAAAAAACCAAGGATTGAGGTAATATTTCAGCCAGCAGTTGCTTAGTATAAACCCGTCATACTCGCATGTTGGTCAATGCAGTTCTGGAGCATATACTGCCCTGGTGTTCAGTCCACAACAGTAACAATTCCAATAAGCAGAAAATCTGCGTTATCAATGGCACTATAAAAATGTGCAGGCAGATCTCGGCCGGGCAGGTTTTCAGTGATGGCGTAAATTGACTTTTTTTTTTGTTTTTTTCTTTTAACAACATTATGTTCACTGATAACAGACTAAAAATAAAATTATCATTTTGCATTCACATTTGATTGACATGAATGTGAAAGAGGATTAATTGTGTACACCCCCAGATCAAGCCACTGAAATACCACTTCATGTTATAAATAATTCAGAATAACTATAGCTGACAGAATACTTACTTTAGATGTAATATTCAGCACTGACTTGGTAAATTGTATATGTGTGACATTACATTGTTATTCTGTAGTTTGCTGATAGTGTATACACTGTTTTCATCTTAAGGATGAGGAACGCGTGCGTCTGGACAAAGAGCGTCTGGCTGCCCGTCTGGAGGGCCACAAAGAGGGCATTGTGCAGACGGACCAGATCAGGTATGGTGGATTTCATCCAACTAGATTCATTTATGATGTCCTGTCTATGTGAGGGGATCTCCAAAGTGAATTATTTCAGCACTGAGGTTAGGTGGGGTTTTTATTAATCATACTGTAGTGTCAGTATTAATTGAGCCGTATTAATTTGATTGCTCTGGATCTCATGTTTTACTGCACTTTGACACCCACAGACAAGTTTCATGCAGTAGCAAGCTGTTGAAATAATTCAAACTTTTCCTTCTCCAGATCACTCTCTGAGGCCATGTCAGTGGAGAAGATTGCAGCCATCAAAGCCAAGATTATGGCCAAGAAACGTTCCACCATCAAAACTGATTTGGATGATGATATAACTCTGAAGCAAAGAAGCTTTGTGGATGCTGAGGTGGATGTCACCAGAGATATTGTCAGTAGAGAGAGGGTCTGGAGAACCAGGACAACCATTCTCCAGAGCACTGGAAAGGTCAGAGTCCACTTAAACCTAACAGTATTCAATCACTGTGATCTCTGCAAATGATCTTCTGTTTCTCTTGACAGCAATTAAGTGTATTTCCCAGAGTAGTGGACTTCCTTGACATGTACAGTGTGTCACATTAGTACTTGTGGATTTGGGGATTTTCGTGTATTCACACCTACACCTAGGATCAGCATTAGATCCTGACTTGACTGGATCGTCGCTTGATTGTAAATGAGAGTTAATGAGGAAGTACAGTAATTTGTCTGAATCTGTATCCATGAAACAAATTATGACAAAAGGGTCCATTTTAATGCTGTTGCTTCAGTTGTGCTATGTCTGAATCTGTATCCATGAAACACATTATGACAAAAGGGTCAATTTTAATGCTGTTGCTTCAGTTGTGCTACTGAAAATCTCAACCACTAGATGGAAGCAAATGCACACCTTTCATCCAGTATGTATTTAATCTCAAATACTGGTTTTTATTGGGCCATGGAATAGTCTTTGGCATGCTCATCTCAAAGTGTTGATTGTCTGTAAGAGTAATTATTCTGAGTCATATAAAAAGTTTACTCTCTTGTTGAAGTATGAACAGACAAAACTAATCGTTAATGGACAGATTCGCAATTTTTCAAATTTATCTTAAAACAGTAGTTGAGTGTTTAATGAACAGGAGGTTTTGCTCGCTGCAGCCACTCTTCCTATATACACTGACCACTAAAAATCGTATCTAATTGCTTTTTCAGTACAAGTGATGGAACACTATCCAAAAGTATACCCTCAAAGGAATCCTTTATCCCAGGCTAATATGAGTCTTCAGACTGTAACTTTAGAAGACTTGATTTGACTAACTCAGTCTATTGAAGCCTAATATCAACTGTGTATTGACTTTGGATTGCATTTTTGCACTGGGGTTGCATTGCACATGTTGCCAAATGACTCAGCCTACCTTGCCGACCTCAAAGCTAATAATGCCCTTTACAAATACACTTGCACTGAGCTTGCACTGCTCACCAGGATCTGTAATCTCAGAAGATCTTATATTACCACTGGGTGTCCTCCTAAGTTGCACCACAAGTTTGCTATGAAATCATCTTTATTTATATATTAATTGCTTTTATTATTACATGGACTTGTCAAACAGTCAAAGTAGGATGTGATGATTGGTTTTGGTCTTAACTGTTTCTGAGACATATCCCAAGTTCATTATCAGTGAAAACTGCAAGCTGTCATCTCTTCTGTGTTGTTTCGACTTGTTGCTGAGTGGACTAAACCCATTAAAATATGGTTTTAGCGTCTTTACAAAAAACTGACACTGAGATGCACTACCTGCAGCACATGACTTAATGTGAGTAGGTCTCAATGACTTCATCTTTGTTATTTATAAGTTATTATTACCATAATAATCTTTATTGCTAAGCATATTAAAATACAAAGAATTCGACCCCAGTTCAGTGGCCCCCAATGTGCACCAAATAAAATATAATAAAAACATAGTAAAAGACAGAATAACTAGTTAAAAAAAAGACAAACAATCTGATAACTGTGTGTGTGTGTGTGTGTATACACATGTTGCTGAGCCAAACTGGACAGTGATGGAGGTGCAGAGAACAGACTCTGATTCCTTTGTAGAACTGTATCAGCAGCTCCTGGCAGGTTGAATATCCTGAGCTGGATGTGGTTTTCACCAATCTCACCTGCTGCTTTCTGTCTGTCAGAAAGCTGGTGATCCACTGACAGGTGGGGACAGGCACACTGAGCTGGGTCAGTTTAGAGTGGAGGGTGTCCAGGATGATGGTGTTGAATGTCAAGCTGAAGTCCACAAAGAGGGCCCATGCATAGGCCCCTGGGTAGTCGAGGTTATTGCAGAATATAATGCAGTGACTGCATCATCCACTATTTGCCCATTGGGCAAACTACAGGCGGTCCAGCAGGTGGTCTACAATGTCCTTCAGATGGGCCAACACCAGTCTTTAAAGACTTCATAACTACAGATGTCAGGGTGACAGATCTGTAGTCATTCCATCCCATGATTGTGGGTTTCTTGGGAACTGGTTATACAGGATCCTATCCCCACTTCTGTAGGCCTCCTCTTTGGCATGACGGAGCACCTAGAGCTTCTCTGTGAACCAGGGCTTGTTATTGTGTGTGCATAAAGTTTTAGTGGGCACACGCGTCCTCACAAAAGCTTATGTATTATGTTACAGTGTCAGTGAGTTCATCGACGTCTGGAGCTGCAGCCTCAAAAACAACAATAACAAATGCACACGGGAGCACATAGCTGAGGCAGCCATCCGTGGCACCATCTTGACTACTTCTTTGTCACTCGGTGCCAAACTGAGTTCCTTTTGGACACTGTAGTTGTACAGAGTTTCCATCCAGTGAAGAATGACTTGTTATTCACTTTGCTATAAATTTCTTTGATTAAACAATATATTTACCATTACATAAAATATGCTAATATAGTAATATGCCTGCAGGTGGCAGTATTGAGTTATGTTTTTGTACTAAGTAAATCAATTAACAGCACATAGCAGTAATTAATATCCAGTACATCATTAATGTGTTCTAATTGAACAGCTCCTGTCTTTTTACATCAAAGCTTTTGGCTATGCTACATGTTAAGAAAGCTTTTTTTTTGGTAAAAGTATGTGTCACTGTATTGCTCCTTCACAGAACTTTTCCAAGAACATTTTTGCCATTCTTCAGTCAGTGAAGGCCAGAGAAGAAGGGCGAGCACCAGAGCAGAGACCAACACAAAACACTACTCAAGTGGTAAGACCAACATTTACTGTACATTATATATGCATTAGAATTGATAGTTTCTTTGGATATTTAAGAAGTTTAAATTTGGCCAGACAACCCTAAAAATAAATGTTTACTAATAGGGACTTGATTTTAAATATACTGTGTGTGTGTGTGTAATATACACAAAGTACAGGTTTAATTTAAGGGTTTGTAGAAAATGTTGGTAGTTATTTAATCCGTGAAAACATCATGAAGCCAATAACTGACTACTAAGGTTTTGACTAAAATGTGTATAGATGGGTATATACAGTAACTGTTTAATGTCACTTCCAGGACCCCTCCCTAAGTAATAAGCAGCCTGTGCCAGCTGCCTACAACAGATACGATCAGGAGCGTTTCAAAGGAAAAGAGGGTGAGTTGTATTTGTGTTTATGTGGCTAATGGTAAATTTAAACATCTACAAAGGAGGGCATGTGGATTTGTGCATCTATGTTTGCCTAGTATTACTCAAAATGTGCTGACCAAAATTGTGGGACCTCTTCCTTCCATTGAAATAATAGAATTTTATGGTGACCACTGGTTTTAAGCTTAGTGCTAGACAAGTAGTGTCAGTGGTTAAGGTTAGGTAAGTCTCCAAGAAATGAATGTAAGTCGGTGTAAAGTCTCTACAAGGAATGAAAACATCACATTTCCTGAACATTGGTTTGTGGGTCAACGCAACTTGGATCTGATTTACGTCATGGACATTTACCCCATTTACACCCAATATCAATATGACAGTCCAAATCCTACACCTGCTGAATCAAGCAAACAGAAAACTACAATTTTAATGATTTCACAGTATCACTACTCAATTTGTTTTTATTTAGTTAAGAAAGTAAATGATTAGAATCGGTTCACGAAGTCCATCCCAGTACCACACTTGTGGTATTTTTCAAATAATCAAGTGCTGTGTGATGTTTTTCTAGTAATTGCCACAGTAAGTGCCCATACAGTTAGTCATGTGACAGATGATACATTGTGCTTTGAATAAGGTTTTGAAGTGATATTATGCGGTCAGTGTGGGCTAAGTGCACTGTGTTTAGCATATTTCTGACATGTGACCTGTTAAATATACATGAATGTGCACTTCATTTCACTGCTCATAACCACAAGTGTGGGTGTTGTGACAGACCCAAGGCCTTAAGAGTGAAACAAGTGTTTACTGCTTCTTGGTCTGTAGTCATCATCAGGTGTAGGATAGGTGAAGGGCAATGAATGCAGATTTTTGTCTGATATACAGAGAAACCTAACCAGAATATTTGGGCCCACATAAACTATAGCTTTATTTGATGTATTACTGACCAAGTCAGGACGTTCTGATTTAGACATCATTGTCTCAGCAGCCATCTAATGCTACTGTGACCCAGCAGCCATTGCTTTCATACTGACATACTCTTTACAGCTTTGATGGTTTCCTGTGAATTTTTTTTTTTATTCTTTCCTCTTTCTCCCAGCATACAGTCTTATGCAAAAGTTTAGGCACCCCTTGATAAATAACAGATTTTGGTGATTTTTTTATTTGAACAGATGTTAACACAGTTTCTCTTGGAAATGGAAAAAATGCACAATATTTTCTGCAAACAGTGATGCATAGTTACTTCTTATGCCATAAATTGAACAAAAATAAAAAATAAAAACATTATTATGGCATGGTGCAAAAGTTTGGGCACCCTAAGAGTTCCAGAGTCTCAAAGTCTCTCACAAGGTATCAGACCTTAATCAGCTCGTTAGATCTGATGCACAGCAACAGCTGTCATTGGTAAATGCCAATTTCAAAGCTGTACAAATACTTTGACTCTTCAAACCTTGTGCACACACTTGTGGACACCCAGCAACCATGGGTTCCTCTAAGCAGCTGTGTAAGACCCTGAAAATGAAAGTTATTGACGCCCACAATGCAGGAGAAGGCTACAAGAAGATAGCAAAGCGTTGTCAGCTTGCAGTTTCCACAGTAAGAAATGTAATTAAGAGATGGCAGATCAGGGGAACTGTGGAGGTCAAGATGAGATCTGGAAGACCAAGAAAACTCTCGGACAGAACTGCTCGTATGCTGGTCAGAAAGACAAATCAAAACCCCCATTTGACTGCAAAAAACCTGCAGGAAGATTTAGCAGACTCAGGAGTGGTGGTGCACCGTTCCACTGTGCAGCGATGCTTGCACAGACAAGGCCTTCATGGAAGAGTCAGCAGAAGAAAACCTTATCTGCGTCCCCATCATAAAATCCAACGTCTGAAGTATGCAACAGGACATCTACAGAAGCCCGATGCGTTTTGGAAACAAGTGCTGTGGACTGATGAAGTTAAAATAGAACTCTTTGGACACAATCAGCAAAGGCATGTTTGGAGAAAAAAAGGAGCAGCATTTCATGAAAAGAACACCTTGCCAACTATTAAGCATGGGGGTGGATCTATCATGCTCTGGGGTTGTGTTGCAGCCAGTGGCACAGGAAACATTGCACGGGTGGAGGGAAGAATGGATTCCACTAAATACCAGCAAATTCTGGAAGCAAACATCACACCATCTGTAAAAAAGCTGAAGCTGAAAAGAGGATGGCTTCTACAACAGGACAATGATCCTAAACATACCTCGAAATCCACTATGGAATACCTCAAGAGACGCAGGCTGAAGGTTTTGGAATGGCCATCACAGTCCCCTGATTTAAACATCATTGAAAATTTGTGGGTAGATCTTAAAAGAGCTGTGCATGCAAGACGACCAAAGAATATTACAGAACTAGAAGCCTTTTGCAAGGAAGAATGGGAGAAGATCCCAAGTACAAGAATTGAAAGACTTTTAGCTGGCTATGAAAAGCGTTTGCAAGCTGTGATATCTGCCAGAGGAGGTGTTACTAAGTACTGATTGTGTAGGGTGCCCAAACTTTTGCACCATGCCATAATAATGTTTTTATTTTTTATTTTTGTTCAATTTATGGCATAAGAAGTAACTATGCATCACTGTTTGCAGAAAATATTGTGCATTTTTTCCATTTCCAAGAGAAACTGTGTTAACATCTGTTCAAATAAAAAATCACCAAAATCTGTTATTTATCAAGGGGTGCCTAAACTTTTGCATAAGACTGTATGTAGCCATATCACAGCATCAGCTTCATGTCTCCTCTGTTCAGTTTTGTTTGTTTGTAAACAGGGATTTTACTTTTCAGCAAGTACATACAATGAAAAATCAGTGGGGATATTATTGAACGCTTGCTTTAGTTTTCCTTATATGAGAATATTTAGTGTAAAATTAAAAGGTTCACACACGTTGTAGTTTTTCAGTGTGATTATGCTTTTGAAGGCAAGCAGTTTTGTTCTGCCAGTAATCTGTAACTTGCTGTGTGTTACTTTCTTAGAAACGGAGGGTTTCAAAATCGATACCATGGGTACTTACCACGGCATGACCCTGAAGTCAGTGACGGTAAGAACAAAGCTTCTAGTTCACTGAAGTTTCAATCTTACAGCTACACGGCATGTGTGAAATTCACTTTGCACACCTCCAGACAGACCTCAGTGTGACTGTTTTTAATGCTGTAAAAACAAACTTGTTTGATATGATTACTGCCATGTAAGGGCTCACAGCATCGGTCAGTGGGCACTCGCATGCTTTCCTGCTTCTCAGGTGGTTTCATAAGGTCAATAAAATAATCATTTTTAAATGTGTTATTGGAATAAAATTGAGAAAACAGGTTCTGTTTCTAGTTTGTCATCTTAAAGAGAACAGCACAAACCAAAAACAGGCGGGAGCTTTGTTATTTTTTTATTTTTATTTTTTTTGATTGTCTTTGGAGGTACACCATTATGTCACCTCATGTCTGCTTGGTAGTTGGATTCTGGGTGTTTCTTAAATCTCTTTTATATGGGTTTTCGTTTTCCTTAGTTTTGTCTCGTGAGGAGAGAAGGCTCGAGGAAGCACATTATTAATGACCTGACGTACTTTCCTCTGATCTTTCATCTGAAGCGTCCAATCACCAAATAATTTTTGTTAAAGGGGCTTGTCAGTTCATAAAAATCTTCCACGATGGATGGTCTTGTGTATCTTTTGCTCATGGCTCCTCTAGCAGCCTCCTTGCTAGTCAACCCTCACTCATCAGAGTTGATGTAAGAGACTTGGAACATCCTCCATCCTTGTTGACTGGAATGACTTCTGGGTCGACCAAGAACAAATGTTATCAGAGAAGTGAGAAACACCCTCTGTAGCTCTTTGAAATGTAGTTCTCTTTCTGAAATGGAGCATTGCTTTTAAAATTACTTCACTGACTATTTTGTTGAGATGTTTATTGGCACTGCACTCTGACTGCTCTTTTTTTGAGCTTGTGTCTACATACAACAGCAGTCAAACGTTTGGACACACAATAGATCATACATTATTAGGAAAAAGTAGCATTTGCACCACAGTGAAATGCACCTTATTCTTTTGTAAAATAGAACAGTACACAAACTCTCCAGTGGATTGACGAAGACATAGAGACAGCTTTCATTGCTGTTGTGAAGCTGACAATAATCTTACAGCATTGTGGGTTTTCACACCTTTATGCACAGTTTGTATTATGTTCTCATATGGATACATTATTTGTATCTAACAAGGACAGTAATACTTTTTTCAGTTATTGAGCTCTTCTCTTGCCATTCAGTTTGCGTGCATCTTGCCTGCATTCTCTTTAAGTGTGTTGTTGCAGGCGATGTGTTTGTTGCTCTGCAGGTGATGCCAGTATTTAAGTAGTTCATTGGGATGGAACCCATGTGATGTTATCAGATGGCTGTACTTGCAGCTGGAATAAGAGACCCGCCAGTGGTTGAATAGGAACTCATTGGATGGCGGTGTGGGCTCAATCCGGAGCTTGGCCAGACATATTCCCACATACACATCCTCCAGGTGCAGGTGGTGGATAGTTAGAGATGCTCGGTAGATTTTAGTTGCCAAGTCTCCAGAGAAGACATAACCAGTCCCAGAGCAGAAGGTGGGATACTTGTCATGAGGGTACAGCTCTGGAGGCATGTACCACTTGCTGTTTTTATTTCTGTTGGGTGCAAAGCCTCTCATGTTATTGCCTGTGAAATAGTTCTTTTTGGACTTCAGTTCTGGCCTCAACAGCTTATAAATTAGGTACTCTGTGTTTACGAACATGTCGCTGTCTGTTTTCATGACATAGCTGGCCTGTGGACAGTGTGTTGCTACCCAGTTCATTCCCATCAGTGTCTTTATAGTCAGGTTTTTG